AGACTGTTTTTTTTTTTTTTAGCTTAATGTTCTTTTTAAGTTGAAACCATAGTGATAATGGGTAGTAGGTTATTTTAAAGTCCCTTGTTTGACAAATAAAAGTTAGCCACCTTTTGTGGTCCTCAAATTTTAGTTTTAAATTTTATTGGCTCTTGGAGTCCATATGTGGAAGTTAATGCCCACGTGACACCTAATCTAGCCTTTAAACTTTCATTTGTCCCACCAACATTCAGTGAGTGCTTGTTGGATGCAAGATGCACAGGTTCTTCAACATTGATTCAAAGAGTTTGTGGTCTTTGGGACACACGTTAGTGTAACACTGTGGAGGCTGCAACAGCCTTGGCTCTAAGGGCAACAGGCTGTAAGAGATGGAAAGCCTGGGGATCACAGCCTATCACAGGGTCCCTAACTCTTCTTCATACAGAAATGACTTAACTCATTATAAAATATTAGAGCCCTTGGGGAAGTAAAATTCACTGCAACAAACATCTCCCCATAGTTGCAAAACACACATTTCAGAAGAAAGTAAAAGGACAAAATAGATCTGAATTTAGGACAGAAGTAGAAGTAAAATATCCTACATATCCAGATTTATAACTGGAAATGGAAGAAATTGGATATAGGCTTTAAAATGATGTTTATTAAGCAACTGTTTGGTTAAGGACACACACATGAAAGAAAACCAATGCCAGATTTCATAAGAAAGGTACATGAAAGCATAGTAAACTTTTTAATATTCACAAAAAATCACAGATCAAAATATCTTTAATGACACTTATGACACATTGTAACAATGCAAATTGATAAAGTAGTAAATTCTGTGCACACTTAGAATACACTGGATATCAGTAAAATAAAAGACTGCTGTTTGGATATACATATATGAGCAAATGCTCTCTAGTGTACTAAACCTGTAGTGCTAAAAGTAAAAAATATCAATATTTTTCTTGTTTGAGCCAGAGAAATGTTTGGAATTGAGATGTTAAAATCATAAAAAATCTTCCAAACTATTCTTCCCAAATACTTTCTCTGGGGCTGGAGTGGGGCTAAGGGGGTGCTGAGGGGGGCAGAGTTCTTCTGGAAAGGACATTTATGAACATTTTGGTGGATTTACATGAGACATGCTTTTTCAGGGCTTTAATGGTTTGTCAGTTTTGAGTGTAGTTGGTAGTCCCTTGAGCAAAAGGCATAAAATATTAATTGGAATTCCAGCAGATATCCAGGCAATCGGGAGGAGCATAAGCATGACAGCTTTTTTTTTTAAGGATGATGATAATTCTCTCAATCAAAATGGCTAGTCTCCAACACCCTGCAAAAATGTGAGTTCAAGAGGAAAAACATAAAATAAGCTTCATCCAAACTCTCTCCATCACCTGATCAAACTTAGATTATTGCCAAGCATTAACATGACCAAACTTATTTGATGTTAATAAATACAAGATGTGAGCTTAAAGCAATTAGTGTTTGCCACCAGCACATTGCTGTTGATTTTGACTTGTAGTTCATTCTCTGGATTAAAAAAAAACTTGTGTTATTAATTCATTGAATTAACACCTGTCACTAATCACCTAGTTAAGTTACAATTGTATATATTCTGGCTAGCGTTGAAATTTAAATTGCAAAAAAAAAATCATAGGAGGATTACTAGATAAAGAACCATGAAAGACATTATCTTTGTCTTTTAATAACATTATTTATACTACAGTATTTCTAATGGAAGAAAACTCTATTCTATTCACTTAGACACTGTGTCAAATTTTGATATATGTAAATATGTATGTCAAAGGTACACACATTTTTAAAAGAAAAAAGTGTTTTCGCTTGTCTTCCAAGAAAGCACCAGTCTTGCAAAAAGTCTAACAGTTGTTTTTTTAAATATTAAACTCAAGTTTGTGAGCAAATGAAAAACAGCAAAAAATAAATAAACTATAGCTAAAATTGTCAGCGTCATACTAATAATCGTAAATTGTAATAATTTCAGGTTCTTAATAAAAGTATTAGAGTGAAAAAGCTGAAGTTTCAAGTCAATTCTCATTATAACTTTCACTGAAATAAAAAGTTGACTATAAAAAATGGTTTCCAAGGTCTGGCCAGATACTAGACGTGTTTCTCAACATCATTGCCACAAAACTGTCATGAATTTTAAATAATTCATGGCAATGAACATTTTCTTTAAGCCATTACTGAAAAAAAAGTTCTTATATAACGGTCACTTCCTGTAAAGAAAATGATGCAACTCTTGATTTTGTGACAGTGTAAGGTGTGTGACTTCATAGCTGGATAACCAGGAAAATGGAAACTGAGATTAAAAATGAAACCAATTCCTTTACTTTCCTTACATTAACGAAGAATGCTGTGAGTGTAATTACCACTAACAGACACATTCACTGCATCTACAAATTTGACTGGTTTGTGTATGAATAGCCCATTTTGAATTTATGTTGAGACAAATACACAACAATATAGAGAGGTGAACAGCTTCTTGAAATGTTGAACCCTTTGATCCAGTGTCAACTGGAATGTTTACTACATAACAATATATTCATCAGTTACCTCATACAACATAACACACAAGTGATCATAAGCTCATTAAAGATAAAACCCTTGTTTTTTTAATCTCTAGAGTTTAGAACATCTCAAGCACATACTAAATGTTTGTGAAAAGACGGATTTTAGAAACAGTTTTCCTCGGTAAGTTCCTCTTTTCCCTCAGTCTTAAATAATTTATGGAGCATGATGATGCAAAGAATTTATAAACAATGAAAATACAATGATGTAAGAGGACAAATTAAGAATCCCTTTCTCCAAACATATCCTCCAAGTCCCAGATTAATAGCAGTGAAGGAAAATGGTGGTCCTTGCTATGTAAATTATTCCCTGTGACTTAGGCTGAGACTAAAGACATGAACCCACAAGAAAAGGGGAACCATTGAATAGGTAAGCAACTAATGAAAAGTTAGGTTTGTTTTTCTCTAAGGCAATCAACTGTGTTATGGAAGTCAAGCTTTTTTATTGTTTTCTCTCATGTATCTGTAGATGAAAACATTAAGGTATCCTTGGGATTTATTGGGACCTATTTAGGACGATAATGCTGAATGACCAAATTAGTATCCATGGACTTAAATAAATCAATGTATTTAAAAAATATATATATCAATGTACTCCCAAGAATTAATTGAATGATCAATTTGCTAAAGTTCTGCACTTAGACTAAATTGATAAGGCAGTTTTAGTGTCAGATTGGATTTCGGAAATATTTCTCTAGAAACCATTCTAATTGATTATGTTTTCATGTTTCTAAAATAAATAGTCAAATCAATTATTTCAGCATAATAATCTTTACTTTTGGTGGGTAAAAAATCAATCACAGCAGTAATTTTCTTAAATAGCTCAATCAGTTCCATAGTTGAACCAATAACTTTATGTAGCAATTGTGTAGATGACTTAGTGTTGCACAGGAATATGAAGAAATCATTTTTGGAATAATATATTTAATATGCAAAGAGTTGGCTATATAGGGAACAATGTCAATATAAGTGAAAACTTTAGATTTGTAATCAAAGTGTACAATATTTAGTTGAAGATATGTATTCATTCATCATTATGACTAAGAGGAAGACGGCTTATCTAATAGTAAACTATTAGATAAGCAATAGTAATCTATTAGATAAGCAGTGGGATGTAAACAGCAAAACTAATTTGGAGACAGGACATGGCATAGCATTTTGAAATAAATGGCTATAAGATTAAACGAAGTTTTGAATACCAATAAGCAGTAGCATTGAAGAGATTCTTCACCGTTTGAAAATTTTCTATGTTCATTAATTTCCTCCTGTAAGCTTTCCAGAGTAGATTATAAATTACTCCTTTATTCACAAATCGAAGCCTTATGGTTAGCTTAAGTATTTTTGTTAAGCCAAATAAGGCAGTTTGTGATTTTCTATAATTTTTATAAAGTTTCATTTTGAATATTATCACATGTAATTTAACCTAGTATAAAAATGCATCTTATATTTCATATCCATTTTCTTTCAAGCATGAAGAATAGGGCATTCAGGTGTGATCTGGAGGATTCATCATGCTAAAACTCTGTGATGCTTATTTTACTATCAAAACATTTAAGGGAATGAGTATTTATTTTTTAATATTTTTGTAAGATTAACAATAATTTTACATATACTCTAGAGCTGTCCAATATGGAAACGACTAGCCACATTTAGCCACTGAATACTCAAAATGTAACTAGTGCAACTTGAAGAACTGAATTTTTCATTTCAATTCATCTAAAAATTTAGAACTTGTAGTAGTTTTAGTTATTGGAAAACTTTTAAGTGTGCTTGAACAACTTAGATTTATGAATCAATTTTTTCATCTGCAAATTTTATGAAATCTAAATACATCAAGTATTACTGATGAAAACTAAATGTCCAAATTAAGGTTCACTGTTAAAGTGAAAAACAAACAAGATTCAAATACTTTTTATAAAAAAGAATATAAAATTCTCATTAATAATTTTTATATTGATTACTTAAATATCTTGCACTATATTTCTCTTGGACAGCACTGATCTAGAGCTATATGAAAATTGCTAGTTTTTAAAAGTCATATTTAAATTTCTAAATTTTAATGTCATTATTTTAATAAAAGTTTCTTAGCATTCTGAAAAAGTAAATCAGATTATTTATACAGTAAGAAGTGCCTTAATTGCTCTCTCTGTACCAGCTCCTTTCTCTGAATTGCAAAGCCCTTGCTAGCACCAACAGCAGAATGCAAAATCACAGGCAGTGAATATGCAGAAATAGTGTATGAGAGCACTGATGAGTGTGCAATCAAATTAAACTTCTCACACACTACAAATTCTCTTTTCTTTCCTTGCAACTGTTTCCAGACCTATGTGTCTCCAATTCCAAAATTAACCTTCAACTTCCTCCCAAGTTCTGCTGTGCTATGGCTTTTGGTTTAGAGTAATAAGCGATGACTTTGCTCAGCAATGTGCTCGGTCATGTATTAATACTAGATTCTGTCCAGGCTCGAGAACTTTCATCCTTCAGAGTGGAGAGCTTCCTCTGGGAGAAGGGTTCAAATCCCAGAAGTTTGAACACCGCCACCCGGTACTTCTTGGACATGATGTTATACAGAATGGGGTTGATGGCAGCGCTGAGGTAGAAGAGGACAAAGGACACGAGGTTGCAGTATTGGCTGATTTGAGCAATCTCCAGGGAGCCAGGCTCGAAGGACTTGGAAAATAAGTATCGCCCTACATGGAAGGGCAGCCAGCAGAGGATGAAAGCAAACACCACTACAGCTAAAAGAAAAATGGGAAAGAGAACATCAACTCAAGAAATGTCATAGCAAATCACATTCTGTTTGGAAGACATGGTTTTGTCTTGATTATGTGTGGCGTGACCCTTGACTTCAGAGAAACATTACGTGATCTTTCCCATTCCTACATTTTCACCAAGACTGAGAGCGTCTGGATCAACAGTTCAACCATTTGTACTGAGCTTCCCAGTCACTTCTATTTAACAACTATTTGAGTCATTTTGTAATTGAATTTACTCAATTGACTAGACCACTTATTCACAATAGTCCACCATTTAATATGTGTTAGACACGACCAAACACAAAGGAGGTAAAGTGGTTATATCCAACTATTGCTATGTATCAGCATGTCTTCCCTGGGGGACACACAGTCCTTGGAGGTGATAGAGACTCATTAAATTAAAACCTCTAGGAAGGAAACCAGGACATTTGCTTTTTTCTTTTTAAAATTTCACAGAGGACTGAATATGCTGTCAGGATTGAGAAACACTGAGATGGGTGATTCTTTGCCACCTACGATAGACATAAGTAAGGTATAAAAGCCCATAAAACCAACTAAAATTAATTATCATCCATCCAAGCCTTCATTTTGCCTACGTGAGTTAATTTTTTTCAAGACCTATAAATTTCTAGATTGTTTTTAAAATTCAGAAATCAGAAAAAAATAACAAAATATTTTAGTCCTTGTATTACTTTAGTGATGTCCTTCAAATTGTCAAGGTGAAAGAAAATTAACAATGGTATTGAGATACTAATGAGGATAATTAACAGCTTAAAATAAAATTGGAAGAAATTATTAAACTTATTCTCCAAACTAAGTTACCTAGTAACAACTGTCACCATAGCCACATGAATGCCAGAGACCCCTGAAGGGCACTAGCAGATTTACAAGCTATTAGTCATATTGTGAGACTTGCTGGTCTAGAAAATGAAAAAATTTAGCATTCTTTGAATAAACTACCACTTTAATATACAGGATTCCAAGAATTGTAAAATTACAAATACTAAGTCACCTTGGAATGGCTTCTAAGAGTATTAAATATGCAAATAAGTACAAAATGTGACTATAATGTCCAGATAATAAAGTGTACAGGCTTTCCTTTTGGAAAAGCAAGTAGAATTAATATTTTCCTTGGATGCGAAGACATTTTGTATTACTTGACTTGTAGCAAACACATATACTTAAATAAGCTGAATTCATGCAGGACATATTCAGCACACCCCAGGCATGACACTGCACCCAACTGTTCTCTGAAGGACCATTTGGGGAAGGACAGCAAGTCCTGTCAGCTTCCACAAAGCCGCCCTTTCTCATGTTGGAAGCCTGTTTATCTTAGCTTATCCTACATCATCCTAGTCTTTTCTACCTGGAGAGGCAGGTAATCATGAAAATAACCGGAGACTCCCGCATTGATTTGTCACTGACTTCCTTACAAAGCTGAACAAACAGCAGCAGGGTAAACAGAATTGATTTGATTATTCGGGGGAAAAAAAATGCAGGGCATAAAGCAAATCACAGTTGTGAAAGAAAAATGAATCATCTCTGACAAAATTATCCAAGTGGATCATGTCTTTGGTTACATTTACCACTGAATACTTTTTAGATTTAGTACCTGCTTTTCTTAGTGTAACTTAAATATCCACGTATTCTTTCTGAGGCAGGAAGCTTAACTTCCTGCCTCAGAAAGAATATGTGGATATTTAAGTTACACTAAGAAAAGCAGGTACTAAATAAAATTGGAAGAAATTATTAAACTTATTCTCCAAACTAAGTTACCTAGTAACAACTGTCACCATAGCCACATGAATGCCACCTTTAACACTTAAAGACCATAATATATTCTTATAAAATATCTCAGTCTTGAAGCAAAGTTTCTGGGCTGATATCAAACTCATACTAGGGAAATACACGAGCGGGACATTTTTCCATGAAAGAGCGAAAGGAGAAAAAGGAAGAAAGAGACACAAAGAGAGAGACCAAGAGAGTCAAGATTGCAACAAAGTTGGGGGTGGGGTGCTAAGAGGGAGGAAGGGAGAGAGAGAGGGAGAGAGAGAGGAAGGGAGGATGGGAGAAAGAGAAACATAAACAAGAGAGAAAAATGTAAGGGGGGGGGAGCGAAAAACCCCTAGAGAGAGACAGGGAACACACATACGATAGAAAAACTAAGAGACCAAAGGGAGAGCTCAGGACTGAAACAGGAAAGAATAATTGGGAGACACAGAGAGACCAAGATCAAAAGAAACTGGAGAGGGGTAGAGACTCAGGGAGAAGTTGGAAAGGCACCGAGAGAGGTGGGCTCCCGGCAGAGAGCTCGAGGGCGCGCTGAGACCCACCCAGCATTTTCACGGTTTGCTTGTGGTTCTGGTCTCTGAGCGAGGCGCCCACCGCCGCCTGGCCGCGCCTCCTGCGCCACAGCTTCCTGCCGATGAGACTGTAGAGCACAGTGAGGCAGAAGACAGGCAGGAAGAAGAAGATGCTGGACACCCACACCATGACAGTGAGCAGTCCGGAGCGCACGGCGAACTCAGTGGCGCGGCACTCGTTGGTGTCTCGAGGGTCGGTGCCATTCTCGTGCTCCACGCCGACCAGCACAAAGATTGGCCCTGCACTGCAGAAGGCCACGGCCCAGATGATCAGGATAACCAGCTTCACCCGGCCTTTGGTGACCACCACTTTGGCCCGCAGCGGGAAGCAGATGGCGAAGTAGCGCTCGACGCTCAGCGCAGTGATAGTGAGCACCGTGGCGTAGGTGCAGCTCTCGCTGACGAACTGGAAGAGTTTGCAGAGCAGGTCACCGAAGTTCCAGGGCCGGTACTGCCAGAGGCGGACGAGGTCGAGAGGCATACAGAGAAAGATAAGTAAGTCAGAGAAGGCCATGCTGGACAGGTAAAGGTTGGTGGTGGTGCGCAGCTCACGAAAGCGCGACACGACTAACATGGTGAGCAGGTTGCCCGCGATGCCCACTACGAAGAGTGCCACACAGGTGGCGGTGACGCCGGCCAGCAGCGGCGCG